AAGAGATAATCGTGGTGCAAAAGGGAAGCTGTACAATGTCCGCTATAGTGATCTGACTAAAGAAGCTGCCACATGCTCCTGCCATTTTTTTGTGTCACAAGGAATCCCTTGTAGGCATATTCTATCAGTTTTGAATGGGCAAGGGTTTAGAGAGCTGCCAAAGGTTTATATTTTCGATAGATGGACAAAATATGCAAAGAAAAGAGCTGTTGTTGAAGGCACAGTGCATTTGGATGAAACATTTAACACAACGAAGCTAGAGAATCAAACTTTATCTAATATCTGGTGCAAGTTTTACAAGTGCATGCTTCTGGCAGGGCGAGATTATGAGAAATTGAAAGTGATTTTAGAGAGTACGACTTTCCTTGAGAATCAACTCAATGATATTGGGCCAACAGTTGGAAATGATAAAAGAAAGACTTGGAAACTTATTTTGGATGCAAAGTGCCTGATATAGTTGAAATCCATCCTCCTACGATTGGAGTCACGAAGGGAAGGAAAAAGAGGATTAAGAGTGGTGTGGAGAAGGGTCAAGAAAAACAAAAGCACACTCGACGTTGTCGTTCATGCAACAAAATGACTATGCATGACAGCCGTAATTGTCCATTGAAAAACAACAGGTTACTTTTAAATGTTTCATTTTAGTTGTTTCATTTAACTTACATTTAGATTTTAATAATCCTTCTTTTATAGCAAAAGTAGCAGTGATGAAGAGTAACCAAGTGCTCAAAATCTTTACAATTGGACTGCTAGGGTTTCTTGAATCACCATTACAAACAGCCAAGTTCAAGCCGTGTAGTGAGCTCCGGTAAACTGCAATCCTGTAAAATCCTTCTTCTTCTTATTCTTCTTTTTTTGTTTAATTCTGTGTTCTGAAGAATTCATATCTGGGTGTCAAGATTTCTTTCTTTCTTTGATGTTATTGTCAATTTCTTTGTAAAAAAAGATTGGGTTTTTCTTTCTTTCTAGTGGGTTTTTGAACAAACACGACTCAATTTGATCCAGAAATAGTTTAGCACAGTGATAATTCTTTGGATTCCCATATTTCTAAGATGCATCTTCTTCATCAATTTGAATCCAGTCCAATTCATAGCAGTCCTGAGTCTTTGGAATGCTAACATAGTCTTGTTGATCTTGCTGACTCAGAGGTCCTAAAGCTCAGCTTTCAGTTGAGTTTGGTTCTTTGGTTGTAAATTTATGATTGGGTAGGAGTTTCTCAGTTAGTTAAGCTCATGAAGGGCATGTTCATCGTGTGTAATTTTCCGATGTGGGAATCTAACACACCAAAACCATCTCCATCTTCTTCATCTGGTTCTAGAATCAGCCCGGCACTTCTTCTGAATAGTTTTTGTACACTTATGTTGCTTATTATTTGGATTATTAATGTTGTTGCTTTGGTCATGTGGGAGGCTGATTTGCTTTGCTCTTTTTACAGTGACTATCACCTGTTAACATGGAAGCAAAACAACAACAGGGAGGTCTAGCAGCTACTGTTTAGAGATTAGCAAAAGCCGAAGTTGGAATTTGAGCTCTGTATATGCCTACTGTTCCGTCTTAGTGTCTTTTTTATTGCGGACTATGGAAAAAAAAGGGAGTTGAATGCTTTGAGAGGTTTTATTTTTTGGTTGAAAGAGTAATTTAGAAATTTTAAGACTTTAAGCCAGAGTTTTTTTTTGGTTCAAATGGAAATGATACTTGATGTGTATCATATTAGCACTTTCTTCTATCTTCTATGACTAATATTTATAAACTCCATGTCAATTTTCTTCTTTTGATTTGGATTTCTGTTCTACTTCTTTAAATTGAGAGTGTTGTTTTCAAAGTTAGTAACCATGCTGCTAAAATATTACTTCTATAAGGTGATCAAATATTACTAGGGAAGGACACTTATTCTAACATTGCAAAATTCATACAACACTAGGTCGAGTTCGGGGCCAACTTTTTTTTTCGTCAATGCTTTTAAACGATGACTATATTTTTTCCCATTTTGACTTTTGGAGCAAACATTTTAAACATTGAGAATAAATTACGGAAAAAATATACTACCTCCGTCCCAGAGTATTTGTACACTTTCATTTTTAGACACCATGCAATACATTTCTTTAATCCATTTTATCTTATAATTTGTATATTAAAAAATTTTAGGAATTATATATTAATAATCTATATGTTAAGACAAATCAAACAAGATCACACATGACTATATTTAGGCTTACACATTGAGAGAATTTGATGAGTCAAAGTGCTTAGATGAACAGTTCCAAAAGTCAAAAGTGGACAAATATACCGGGATGAAAGGAGTATTAGATTGTGATAAAAATTTAAGAGTAAAAAGAATTGACACCGGGCACTTCTCATCCATTTCCTTCCGCAAATGCGCCACAAAATTGCCTTCTTGTTAATAACCCAATACATGGGTATAAAAAATTGGTGAGCTTTCTCAATATATTCGGTGAGCTTTGTAGTTAAGTTTGGTGAGCTTTCTTAAATTATTTGGTGAGCTTTGTAGTAATGTTTGGTGAGCTTTCTTAATATATTTGGTGAGCTTTCTCAATATATGTGGTGAGCTTTCTAGTAATGTTTGGTGAGCTTTCTCAATATATGTGGTGAGCTTTCTCTATATTTTTGGTGAGCTTTATTAGGTGAGCTTTGTAGTTAAGTTTGGTGAGCTTTCTAGTTATGTTTGGTGAGCTTTCTTAA